GAGGTTCTTAGTCTTTTTTTGAATAAACCCAGGCAACGCCGGGTAATGCTGCTAGTATTATATATATATATATATATATATATATATATATATATATATAGATAGATATAGATATATATACAGAGAGAGAGAGAGAGAGATGATAAGAGAAAGAAAAAATAGGAAAATTTCATTAATGCTTCATCAGAGAATGAGACATGGAGAAAATAAAAAAATAAAAAAATTTGTGTTGTTTGATTTTCATTGGTTAATCTTACGACTTTTCAAACCAATGCTAGTATAATTTGTGGCGTTTCAAGTTCAAGAAGAGAAGACGCGTTCATCCAAAGTTTCAAGAATTTAACTGATTCCAAACCTATCTGAAAACCGGCAAATATTGCGCTGTGGTGATTTTCTAAGCGTAGCACAAGGCCGAAAGTATGGGTCACCCAGTGGGGATCGAAATCACTGCTCAGTCGTAATTGTTTTGGCGAGACACACTAGCTAACTTTTCCACCACACAGGGGGACCCAAATACTGCGTTATGTATGTAGGAATGTGTATGTCTATGTCGGATTCAGATGATAATGTATATTCATAAGTGTGTGTCTTTGCGTATATCTAGTAGATATTACAATTATTGGCTTCTCGTATCTTAAGGACGTTTTTACATACATACCGTTTATTTTAGATAAAAATACGTTATATTCTTTAAAAATGGTTTCAATAAAGCTCTTTGATGCAATATAATATTTTTGACGGGTTTTTATAGTTGATAATATTGTTTTTAGTAGACACTCGAAGTACTTTCTTTGAAAAGAATTATGTTTTATAACAAGGTCGGATTAGTAAAACTCATAGTTGCTATTATATATATATATATATATATATATATATATATATATATATATATATATATATGAAGAAATATAGTCTTAAGGTGTGCTATATTTATGGGATAAAGTGCTCGATATCAGAGATAGAGCGTGTGTGTAAATGAATAAAAGTGAACATATAGAAGTCTGTTTATGCTATACTTGACGAGGCGACAGTCTGTTTCACTTTTTATATATATATATATATATATAATCGTATACTAATATATATATATATATATATATATATATATATATATATATATATATATATATGATATATATATATACATATACATACATATACATATACATATATAATTATTTATTCGAAAATTATCACATAAATTTATTATAAAATCGCTAGAAAATAGCCGTTTTGTTTCAACACTTCTGGGGTCTTATCAACTGATGATGTTGAATCTATCTATCTATCTATCTATATATATATATATATATATATATATATATATATATATATATATAGTAAGGTAATGAAGGGTTTGGTAATCCGTGTGGATAATTCCAGAGGATTTAATCCAGAGAATTCAATGTAACAACAGGGCAAATATTAATTAAATAATTAAGACTCAACCATATGGTTCCATTATAATCATGGAAACTTTTAGCTCTCTCTTTCCTAATTATTTAATTAATTTATACATATATATATATATATATATATATATATATATATATATATATGATAATATATATTATATTATAATATACATATATTATACTATATATTATAATATATATATATATATTAAAATATATATTATATGATAATATAGATATTATATTATACTATACATCATAACATATATATATATATATATATATATATATATATATATATATATATTATGCTCTGCATTGTATAGAGCACTGTTTTTAAAAATAAATGCTAAAGATCTCTGGATTATAAAGCCGACTGTTCTATACATTTATATATATATATATATATATATATATATATATATATATATTTAAATGGTTTAAAATGACAGAAAACATTCATAGTTTTGGCTGTCGTGTTTATGTTCCGACTTTATCAAGGCAAGCAATGAAAGCAAAATATTCTGTAGCCATAGTTACATCAAAGCCAAAATTTAAAAAGAAACTCTCCTTCAATATGCCTCCTCTGGATATTGGTATTGGAAATATATATATATATATATATATATATATATATATATATATATATATATATATTACACAACAGAGAAATCAAAAAATTACCTTATGGGTATAATCTATTTCAGCTGACACTGAGTACAATACAGACGGTGGACTGTATTCAGTGTCGGAACTAGAGATTTAAAATCTAATATTTAACAAAGACAGCAGTTGAAATACAGACCCTACACTTATCGAAACCCCGGCATGACAGGCTAACCGAGTAGTGGTGACGGGAGGTCGGAAGTTATGTGTTTTAAAGGGAGAACCTCCATAAATTGAACACAGATATTAACCATAAGACCCCAGATTTGGGTTTTAAGAAAGATGTATTGAAACTAACGGAAGGACGAAAAAAGGAGTTTCATAAATCGAAATTTTTAATTATTAATTATATAAAAAAAATTCCCACTAAAATATACAAACATATGCTTACAAATAAGTTATATACAAGATTAAGCTTA